GATCCCCCATTGCCTCCCCAAAAGTTTGTCTTTGCCAAAAGTTTGAGGCAAGCTGGGAGCGGATCTGGGCGTCGGAGATGAAAAGTCGTCCCTTCTGTGTGTGTCTGTGTGCACATATATATATATTTATATATATATATATTTTAAAGATATTGCAAAGGATTCCTCCTCCTTTTTGGCACTCGCTGGGGTTTGGTGAGCAGGCCCAGCCCTCCGGCCGGGGTTCACCGTTGGCCGTAGGCATTAATTCTGGACCAAACCCGCGCCCAGACAGACGGCCCCGGCTGGCGGGGCCACCCCGGGGGGGCAGCAGCAGAAGTACTTGAATGGCTTAGGACAGAGAGTCTGAAGAGAGTCAAGTTGCACAGTGAAAATATATATTTTTATACCTAGCACAACTTCCTGTATATTTTGGGGGTTTTTTTCTTTCATTTTTTTTTCTTTTCTTTTCCTTTTTTTTTTTTTTTTTGGATTTGGGTTTGTTTATTTTATTAATTATTATTACTAGGAAGGCAAACTTCTAAAATGTGAAGGGCGTTGGGTTTTTTTTTTTTTTCCTTATCTGGTAGATGAGGGCAAGCATTTTGCACTAATGTTTCCTGTGTGTGGAGGATTAATGGTATGTTTGAAAATGTTACATGGTAATGATTGTATTCTTCCGAAAAAAAACAAAAACGAACAAAAAAAAAAAAAAAAAAAAAAAAAAAAAGTAACCCCTTTAAAATACTGAATGTAAGGTGAGAACAGAGCAGTCCATCGATTGTATGCGGCTTTCCTGAGTGCCTTAGAATTTTTTGATCATTTTTTCCAAGGAAAACAGATTAAGAAGATCAGATCATAACCGACTCCTTCCTCCTCTTTGTTTACGACACTATTTTAAATTATAGAATTTGGGGCTGCTTTATAATGTGAATAGGAAACTGCATTCATCTAGGTCTGGTAGTGTAAAATCAAAGCATCAGTATTTATGGTATGTCTGCACCTTTATTCTTATGCTTGACTATTAGCAATATTACATGTATATTATATATCTAAAGTTATACCAAGCACCTTTAAAGAAAACCGAGTGTAAGCATACAAGTTACCTGCAGCTGCCATATAGCGTAGAAGCCAGCCCCTCTCCTCCTCGTTAGCGCTAATTACCACCACCATCCTGCGGGCTGCTGCTTTGCAGAAGCAAATAATTATTTTTGGCCTTCTGCCGCCCTGCTGGCCCCTGTCTCGCCGTCCAGCTTTGGCCAGGGGTTGTGGCGAACCCCCCGGTGTCCCACGGGCCGGTGACGTTCCCGGGCCGGTTTGGTCGTGGTGACACCAGTACAGGCGGGGGCTGCCCGTGGAGGGGGCTGGGGAGGGAGGGATGGATGGTGCTGGGGTTGCCGTGTCACCGG